TGATGGACCTGTTGGTAACAACCCCGATGCAGCTGCCTCTCTGGCCAAATTTCCTCTCCAAGAATCATGGCAGGCTCCTGCACCCGAATCTAGCAGCGCTGCACCTAACAGCTTGGTTGCTACATGGTTAACTGCTGAAGAGCAGGAGTGCTCGGCCCACGTCCAGCAGGTCCTACTGGATAGTAGAAAGCCCTCCACTAGAGCAACCTACCTGGCCAAATGGAAACGATTCAGGTGCTGGGTCTTGGCCCAAAGGGTTAGGCCTGAGCAGGCCTCGCTGTAGTCAATCCTGGACTACCTTATGCTTCTCAAGCTCTAGGGCTTGCCCCTTTCATCAGTTAAGGTCCACTTGGCTGCCATATCAGCCTTTCACCCTCCGTTCCAGGTCAGGTCAGTCATTGCTCATAACATGACGGTCCGGTTCTTAAAAGGTCTGGAGTGGCTCTACCTCCAAGTCTGGGACCGAGTTCCTCCCTGGCACCTGAATCTGGTGCTTGCGCGGCTCATGAATGCCCCATTCGAGCCCTTGGCGTCCTGTTCCCTTCTTCTGCTCTCCTGGAAAGTGTCATTCCTGGTGGTGGTGACTTCTGTCCAAAGGGTCTCTGAGATTAAGGCACTTACATCGGAGCCGACCTATATGATGTTCTTCAAGGACAAGGTCCAGCTGTGGCCGCATCTGGCTTTCCTGCCCAAGGTGGCTTCGCAATTTCACATGACCCAGGACACATTCTTGCTAGTCTTCTTCCAAAGCCTCATAAGTCTGAGGAGGAACGTAGGTTGTACTCCTTGGATGTCAGGAGAGCACTAGCTTTCTACATCCAGAGGACCAAGCCATTTCGCAAGTCAACGTAGTTCGTCGCTGTAGCAGATAGGATCAAAGGTCGTACAGTGTCCACCCAGAGGATCTCATCTTGGATCACCTCCTGCATCCGATTTTGCTATGATCAGGTGAAGGTACCTCCACCGGCAATTGTAACTGCCCACTCAAATAGAGCATAAGCCTTGGCAACGGCCTTCCTGGCCCATGTGCCAATTCCAGATATCTGCAGGGCCACTACCTGGTCCTCCATTCACATGTTCACGTCTCACTGTTCGCTTACCCAGAAAGCCTGAGACAACGCTGACTTCGGTATAGCAGTATTACAAGCCGCACGTCTGTGAAGTGAGCCCACCTCCAGGCATACTGCTTGTGAGTCATTTAGAATGGCATTGACATGAGCAAGCATTCAAAGAATAAGAACAACAGTTACAAAAGGTAGGTAACTGTTTTTACGAGATGTGTTGCTCATCTCCATTCCATTAGCCGACCTCCTGCCCCTCTGTTGGAGTTGCTGGCAAGAAGGAACTGAGAGGGCATAGGGCTGGCGGTGCCTGATATACTGAGGGTGCCTGATATACTCCAGAGGGTGCCCCAGCCAACCCTATGGATACTGCTAAGGCAAAAGTCTTCGACAACTGTGCAAGTGGACGCGCACACACCTAGAATGGAATGGACATGAGCAACACATCTTGAAGAACAACAGTTACGAAAGGTAGGTAATTGTTTTTTCCTTCAGCCTTTGCTCATATGGTTTGCATTCCATCACTTTGATCATCTTTGTGCACCTCTGGATCCTTTCTAACTGGACACAGTATGCCATTTGAGGCCAAATCAGCGCTGAGTAGAGCGGTAGTATCACCTCCCCTGACTTGCATGTGATGCCTCTGTTAATGCAATCTAAAATTGCGTTTGCTCTTTTTTTTTTTTTACCCCTGCAACAGCATTGCTTTGCTGATTCATCTTGAGGTTGTGATCTACCACTACTTCCAGATCCTTCTCAGCAGTGCTGTTGCCAACCCACTTATCCCCCATTCTGTATTTGTGCATTTGGGTTTTCTTCGCTAAGTGTAGCATCTTACATTTGTCTTTGTTGAATTTCATTTTGTTGTCTATAGCCCAGTTCTCCGATTAATCAATTCTTAAATCGAAGTAATTAATAACGAACCCAGAACAGATCCCTATGGAACACCACCTTTGAGACCTTCCTCCACTCTGACATCATTCCATTAATAGTTACTCTTTTGTTTGTATTGTTTAACCAATTATGTATCCAGTTAATAGTAGTTCCACCGAGCCTGCATTTCTCCAGTTTAATTATCAGAATGTCATGTGGGACTGTGTCAAAAGCCTTGCTGAAGTCCAGGTATATTAAGTTCACTGAATTCCCCCTATCCACCAAACCAGTTATCCTGTCAAAGAAGGAAATCAAGTTGGTTTGGCATGATTTGTTCTTAGTAAATTCATGCTGGCTGCTAGTGATTACCCTTTCATCCTCCAGGTATTCGCAAATTGTATGTTTTATACATTGCTCTAGTAGCTTTCCAGGTATCGAAGACTGGTCTATAGTTCCTCAGCTCATCCTTTTTCCTCTTTTTAAAGATGGGCACTACATTAGCCCTTCTCCAATCTTCTGGGACCTCTCCTGTCATCTATGATTTTGCAAATATTATTGCCAGTGGCTCTGAGATTTCTTTGGCTAATTGCTTCAGCATCCTGGGGTGAATAGCATCAGGCCCCGTTGACTTGAATTAATTCAAATTTGTCAGAAGTGTTCTTTACTTATCCCAAGCTGTCTCCCTTCCCCTTTATTGTCTATGGTAGCTTCGCTAATTGTCTGGTCACATTATTTTTATATATATATATTTATTAGAAGACTGAAGCAAAGTATGCATTGAGCAGCTCTGCCTTCCTATCCTCTTCTGTTACCAGCTCGCCTTCTCCATTGAGCAGCAGACCCACACCATCCCTGATCTTTCTTTTTTGTCTGACATATTTGAAGAACCCCTTCTTGTTGTCTCTAGTATTCCTTGCCCGCTGTAACTCGTTCTTTGCCTTGGCTTTCCTGATTTTGTCCCTACACACTCACGCTATTCTCACATATACTTTCTTCGTGACGTTCCCTGTATGTATCCCTTTTGGTTTTTAGGTAGCTAAAAAGCTCCTTGTACAACCACATTGGCCTCCTGTGACTGTTCCTCTCTTACCTCTGCTCATCAATCCAATCAAAACAGCCCTTCTTATGGTCTGATTTATTAACTTAAAGTTCAAAACTAAACATAAAGCCTTCCCTTCAGCCAGGTGCAGCCCAAACGCTCCTGGTCTGGTCAGAGTCCTTCCTGCCTTAGCAGGCTACTCCCTGCCCTTCTTAGCTGCAGCAATTCCCCTTTACCTGAGGGTCTTCCCTGCAGGAGCCTCTCTCAATCTCTGTAGTCTCGCTGCAGCCACCTTCTGCTCTTTATAGATTAATAGATTCTAAGGCCAAAAGAGACCACGGTGATAATCTAGTCCGACCGGGCCACAGAACTTCCTCAAACTAATTCCTAGACCATATCTTTTTAAAAAAAAAAAAATCCAATCTTGATTTAATCATCGTCAGTGATGGAGACTCCATCATGACCCTTGGTAAATTGTTCCAATGGTTAATTACTCTCACCATTAAAAATTTACACCTTATTTCCAACCTGAATTTGTCTAATTCAACTTCCAGCCATTGGATCATGTTATATCTTTCTTTGCTAGACTGAAGAGCCTATTTATTAAATATGTGTTCCCCATGTAGATACTGATATTGTAATCAAGTTACCCCCTAACCTTCTCTTTGTTCAGCTAAATAGATTGAGGTCCTTGAGTCTATCACTATAAGGCAGGTTTTCTAATCCTTTAATCTTTCTTGTGGCTCTTTCCTGAACCCTCTTCAATTTATCAACATCCTTCTTCAATAGGAAATTGTCTGATTCCCCTCAGGTGGGGCTCATTCTGCAATCAGGATTGGCTTGGCCCCGGCTCTCCAGCCCTAGGACAAGCTGCCCAGTTACAAAGATAAAGGAGATACTGAGTGGCAAGTCTTCATGATCTACCAATTCCTCAGTCATTAGTCATCATAAAGCAAAGTGGTGATTTAGCTGAGATGAAAAAGATGACATTGCTATATATATACTTAACTATTAATTCTAGCTCGCCTTACCAAACCAAAAGCATCTTATTGGATTTGTTCTGTTGAAGAGAAAATATAAAGCAGAATTCACTGTATAGTAAAATATATACGCTCATTAGTAAGTCTTTCATGAAACTTTCCATGCCTGAAGAAATTTGCATGAACTGAGAAACACACTGGTAGCCCTTATTAAAAAAATTTTTTTTTTTTGGTGGTGTTGATTTTGTGCAAACTTTAATATTACCTTCCGTTTATGAATCATCTGACACCTGACAAATGTATTTTGTTTGTTTGAGGAGGAGAGGGTTGACAGAGGAGACTAACACCTGGTGTCGAGCTTTAACTATTAAAAAAAAATAGATTCAGTTTTGACTAGACATATATATATCTTCCAATATATAAGTAGAAAAATTTGCCTTTTAATATAAGAATACCAGGAGATATATTTGCAGTTTATTTTTAGCTAACAGGTTTCAGTCTCTCCTCTCCTGAGTTATGAATTATATTGGTTGAAACTCCCTAGATGAAATAAATTTTATCTCAGAGATGGAGTTGTACCTTGACCAAATTATAGAAATGTTGTATAATGTGCAGCTCTCATTCTGTCTAGAACCACTTACGTAATACAAGAAATTTAAACATTACTACTTAAAAAAAAAAAATTGAAGAAATGTGGGATAAGGTGAAGTTTTCTTTAATAAAGTTTTCCATAACCTCAAGTACCTGATTCAGCATTTCAGATAGCAGTAAATTACACTAAGTATTTTAGCAGCAGGTGTGTTTAGAACCAAACTTATCTTGTTCCAAAATGAGGATTGACTCTTAAAAAGCAATCTAGTTGAGGTGTATGGTGTAATAACAGAATAGCATGAACTATACAGTCAATATTTGGAGGAGCGGGGGAAGAGATTCAAAGTCACATTATCTAAATCATGAATTTCATGGATAGCCAGAGTTAAATTACATAACTTGTTTTTTTGTTCATGATTAGCTATTGCTGTCACATCTGATGTTTCTCACTTTCAGTGTTATCAAAAATGTTGATGGTAGAGTGAGTATTACGCCACTGGGAGAAGCAAAGACATATGTTAATGGGAAACACATTTCAGAGCCAACAGTTATGCATCACGTAAGTTATCCATCACTGGTACAGAAATAAATATATTTATGCATGGCTTTGAAAACACCTGGCATGAATGGTAAATTATCTGTTGACTGCAGTTTTTGAGAAGGCTCTTGAATTGTTCATCATGACAGATTACTGGATATTTTTATTTTTCTAATTTTGATGTATTATATATATTTGATTGTAAGATTATAGTCGAATAGTGTGTCTGTATTTTGCAGGGTGATCGTGTGATTCTCGGTGGAGACCATTATTTCAGGTTTAATCATCCAGTAGAGGTTCAGAAAGTAAAAAGGCCATCTTGTGGGACTACCCTTTCATGTGATGGGCCAAAAGATTTTGAATTTGCAAAAAATGAACTGTTGGTTGCACAGAGGTCACAGTAAGTATCGTGGAACCTTCCAGGTTAAAAATAAACTGCTCATCTGCTAATGCAGCATGCTCTCTTCTGGAAATATATAGGCATATAAACTGCATAAGAATAAGTGAAAGTTTAAAAAAACAAAAACAAAAAAAGTCACTCTCTACTTCTCGTAAAATCCAAAATTTGAATAAAGTTGAATACACACACAATGGTATTGCAGTGTTTTTATAACCATGAAACATTTATTTTTGTAATCTCTAGCTGTCCACTCTTTTGATTAACTGTTTGGAATTCTAATATGGAATTCTTATGACAAATTTCCATGATAAGCCTGAATTCTACTAAAATTGTCTTCTCACATAGAATCTTCTTGCTTGCCAAAAGATTAAATTGAGAATTTATTCCACTACAAAAATCAGACTTTCATAGAGGGTTATTCCAAATATAGATTGATATGTTTAATGCAATGCAAAATGGGTGAGTGTGAAGCTGAGAGTCTAGGTCCCTCTGTATCCTATCTACCACTCCTCCCAGTTTAGTGTCATCTGCAAACTTCAGCCCCTGCCCTAATCGGTCATCGCCCAATAGCCCTTATGAGCCCGTCTGACCCCCCAGCAGCCCCACACTATCTCCCCATGTCTCATGACATGGCCCGACAGGCGCTGTGAAGAAGGTAGACTCTTTCTCTTCCCTATCCTAGCTGGGGCTGGCCAGGAGCAGCTGCTGTGTTCTAGTGCCACAGCACCCTCTGGTGGGCAAAAGGCAGCACTGCAGCAACTTTTCAGCAGAAGCTATTTTCTGGAGGGGGGGGGAGGAAATTAAAAATATATGTGGCACATGAAATATGCATGCAGAGTGGCGCAGGATTCCCACAAGAGTAATACTTTTCTGTGCCTGGGCTCTGTCACGGGAAGCGCACAGATGAGGAACGGTGGTGGCTCTTCCAGAATCTGCAGCTAGACAGGAAGGATGCAGGGTAGCTATTCTAAAGGCTCCCTCTACCTAACCGCCAATATAATTCTTCTTTGAGAGATGTCCCTGTGGGTGCTCCACTCCAGATGTCCCTGTGGGTGCTCCACTCCAGGTGTTGGTGCGTCCCTGCGCCTTCGCTCGGAGATTTTTCGTAGCAGTACTCGTACTGGCCACGCATGCGCAGAGGCTGCCACCCGCTGTGAGTCTAGGATAATAGTACGCATGCGTGGCCAATCTCCTCAGTTCCTTCTCTACCGTCCCCGGCCTGAGACGGAGCTCAGCAGACTCGTTAGGAAATCCCTCACTCTTGTTACAATTACCTATTCTAGTAGTTAGTTTGTTGTCAGTTCTTGTTAGTGTAGTTCATTAGTTCTTTTATCTGTTTAAAAAAAAAAAAAAAATTTCTCTCAGCCGCAACCGCTTCTACCATGCCTGGCTCCACAGGCTTTAAGCGCTGCTCTACGTGTAAGGACGCTATCCCGCTCTCTGATGGCCAGTGCTTGGGGGAAACACGCATTCCCCAAAAATGTGCCCACTGTAGCAAACTTAGTTCCAGGGCACGGAAGGACAGGGAGCTTAAACTGAAACTGCTCCTCCTGCAAAAGTCTATCGGGTTAGTTTCAGACCCAGGCGCCGACTCCGGCTCTACTGCCCGCCACAGCCCCCCTGCTTCAAAAAAACTGAAGAAATCTACAAAAAAGGAGCAGCCCTCTCCAACAAAGAAGTTGGTGAGGCACAAGAGTTCTTCAGGCAGGTCAACAGTTTCCCTGCCTGTGTTTCCTTGCCTCAGCACTTTTGAAGAGCCGGGCTCCTCAGGCACCGCACGAAAACCGCCTCAGGCTGCGGCGGCGGCGCGAAGCTCCGGTGCCGAGGTTTCAGGCTTTCAGTTGCCTGCCTCGTTTATGGCACCGCGACGGACGCGGTGCCGACATTTCCCGCCCTGCCCGACTCTCTGCAGGCTGATGTTGCCCCCCCGGCACCTACCACGGCACCGGCAACCGCGGCACAGACTGACAGGGAGATCAAAGGCAAAACCCCTGCTCAGAGGAATGTTCCCTCACGCAGGAGCCTCACCTTTTCAATTCACTCAGACAGCAGATCTATTGGTATCAGCTATTCTGCAGTCTCCCCTGATAAATGCCTGTTTTTCTCCAATGCCTGAGTCAGGATCAGAACAACCTTCCTCCAGTGAGGAGGAAGCTGATCCACAGGCAGTTTTTTCTCCATATCAAGACTCCAGACCCCAATCAACAGAGGTTACAAAAAAACTACCTCAGCCTGTTCTCAGGATCCTGCCCCATGGGGAGTGAACCGCTGGATGGCACCACCTATGCCCTACCCACCACGGCAATGTTGGGCACCATGGGCATTGTACCCTCGAGAACACGTGCGCTACGGCACTTCGACCAGGCGCAACACCGGTCTAGCACCGCCACGTGACGGATCTGCCAGTGACATAAGATACCAGGCAGCACCGTCACACTTCCAGGAGCAACTGAGTCCTGCTCCTATTCCAGCAGAGCCCGACGTAACGCCTGAGGAAGCCTTACTTCCCCTTCCTCCAACACCATCGGATGACTATGCAAAATTCCAAGACCTCTTTAAAAGAGCTGCCAGTGACTTGAGAATTAACTTGGAGGAAGTCACTGAACAACAGCATGAGCTAACAGACATCTTGCAGCCCTCTTCTTCCTCTAGAGTGGTACTACCAATCAACGTAGCCCTTTTTGAACCCGCTAAATCCATCTGGCAGACTCCAGCCACAAGCCTACCTACCTGTAAACAAGCGGACAGGAAGTACTTCATCCCTTCAAAGGGCTCTGAATTCCTTTTTACCCATCCGGCGCCAAACTCATTGGTAGTGGATGCAGCGAACCAGAGGGCCAAACAACAGTACGCCCGCTCCACTCCAGCCAACAAGGACAGTAAACGCCTGGACCTCTTTGGCCGTAAAGTATATGCATCCTCGATGCTACAATTTCGCATAGCTAATTATACTGCAGTCCTTGCAAAATATGACCACAAAAACTATAATAAATTCATGGATTTTATTGATCACATCCCAGAGCAGAAGAAACAACAATTCACAGCTCTGGTTTCCGAGGGACAAACCATATCACGTACCGCTCTCCAAGCGGCCCTCGATGTAGCTAACACTGCAGCAAGGTCGACTGCCACAGCAGTGGTCATGCGACGGGGTTCATGGCTCTCCTCCTCCTTCTTTCCTGGAGAGGTCCAGAGCACCATTGAAGATCTTCCCTTTGACGGGGAAAAACTTTTTGCCTCCACCACAAACGACGTGCTTCATTCGATGAAGGATGCAAGGGCAACCCTCCGGTCCCTAGGCCTCCAGCCACCTGCGACCAGAAGACGACAATATAGATATCAACCTTATCAACGCCCACGCTACCCCGCATTTACACAACACTCCTATAGACCACAGGAGCAACAACAGCAACAACAACGCCAAAGACCAAGATTCCAGTGTCGTCGTCCTAACTCTACAGGGGCGCCGCAACCCCCTCCAACTAATAGGCAGTTTTGAAGCATTGGTCGAGGGTTTAGAAAACAGCGTTCCCACTTCAGCCGGCACACCTATCTTTGGACACTGCTATGACCATTCTCTCATCAATGGCAGAAAATTACATCCAACAAATGGGTCATAGAGGTAGTTACAATTGGATACGCCATCCCCTTCCTTTCCCACCCTCCCCGTCCCTCTTCAGGGACCCATCTAACGAGCGACTACTCTTCCAAGAAGTGCAGCATCTCCTTCAACTGGGAGCAGTACAAACTGTGCCAGAACGACACAGAGGGCAGGGTTTTTACTCCCATTATTTCTTAACAGAGAAGAAAAATGGGGGATGGCGACCAATCCTTGACCTCAGGCGGCTCAACAAATTTGTCAAAAAGCAAAAGTTCAAGATGGTCACTCTCACCACTATAATCCAGCGCTGGAGCAGGGCGACTGGTTTTCAGCCCTCGACCTACAGGACGCCTATTTTCATGTGACTATACACCCGTCCCACAGACGATTCCTACGTTTTACTCTCGGCTCCACACATTTCCAATACAGGGTTCTCCCCTTCGGACTGTCCATGGCCCCCCGTGTTTTTTCCAAAATCCTAGCCGTAGTTACAGCCTACCTCAGAAAACAAGGGGTCGTAATATTTCCTTACCTAGACGATTGCCTCCTCAAAGCTTCAACGTTCGACGAAGCTCTCCGATCCATATGACTTACCATCGATTGTGGCCCAGACAGCCCTGGTTTCCGTTTCTCACCAAAATGTCGATTCGACCACCAATCCCCTTGCCTCTCATCCCGAACCTCCTATCACAACAACACGGCCATTTTCTCCACCCCAACCTATCCATGCTTCACCTCAAAGCATGGTTCCTACATGGTTCTCCCAAAGCAAACTAGATTGCGCTGAACAAGTTCAAAGAGTGCTCCTACATAGCAGAACACAATCTACTCGCACCACCTATCTACGTAAGTGGAAACGATTCACACACTGGTGTTCAGCTAAACAACTTGGTCCCACGGCAGCATCTCTTCCGCTCATACTTGACTACCTATTGGACCTTAAGCAATCCGGCCTTTCTTTCAGCTCCATCAGGGTCCATTTAGCTGCTATTACAACTTTTCATGACAAAATTGATGATTCTTCTGTATTTGCTCATCCTATCACCAAGCGCTTCCTCAAGGGACTCCAAACCCTATACCCAGACATTAAACCACCTACCACCCCGTGGGACCTTCATCTAGTACTATCTTGCCTAACTCAACAACCATTTGAACCCCTAGCCACGTGCTCCCTTTTACACCTCTCGATGAAAACAGCATTTTTAGTGGCAATTACCTCCGCCAGACGGGCAGGAGAAATAGCAGCTCTTATGGCAGACCCACCATATACGCTATTTTTCTAAGACAAGGTTACCCTCAGGTTACACCCCAATTTTCTTCCTAAGGTACACTCGTCATTCCACATTAATGAGCCGATACACTTTCCGACCTTTTTCCCGAAGCCACATGCAAACTCGTT